TTTATATCTACAAAGATTCCCAAACTAAAGTTTAAAAGGTTCACGAAACTTACCATTTCAATAACTTGAGATCTCCCAACCAAATTCTTCAATGAAGTTCTTCCAAATCCTCAAAACAACTTTCAAAGACAAACCTTTGAAGCAAACAAGTTGGATCCCTTTCAAAGTCTTTCAAAAATGTTTCCAAAGGTTCTCTAAATCACCAAGAGGATGAAAGAAATGAAGGAGAAGAAAATGAGTCAAAACCCTAATATTCGGACTTTTATCCGTCTACAGGTCATATGCGACCTCATTTGTGACCCAGGCCGCGTATCTGGTCACCACTACCCCACTCAAAACTTTATATATGCGACCAATACTAAAACCCCGGTCGCATATCTCGCCACCTAACTCTATGATTCAATATATGCTACCTTAACTGAGACTCTGGCCGTATATATGATCGCTTAACTCTTTGTTTCAAGATTTCAATTTTGTTTTTGGCATTCCAATGAGTTAGGCGACTTTGGTTGTGACACAACTCGCATCTCAAGTTGTTGGGACCCTTTTGATGCCCAAAAATCCTCGTTTTCTCTAAGCATTTGACCCTGAAAAAACCCAAGACTAAAAAACACGATTAAACATCGTTAAATCAAGCTTAATACACCAAAAGTAGTTCAATAAACCAGTAGATGCATCTAATGGAAACACAAGTGTTTCATATTAGAAACTAAATAAACTTGAGAGTAGTACAAGAGAGAAATAAGAACTATTTACATGCTCTAAAAGAAAGATACTACCTTCCTTTTATACTCAACAAGGAGATACACAAATGCTAAAAACCTAAGGACTAACCAAAAGTAGGAGACGACCCTCCAATATTTTTAATAAAAAAGTGTTCCTTATTTGTCAAAAGTGTTGGTGAATGCTCAAAAACCAATCATATGATGATTGTAATTTTGAGTTATGTTACATGAAATTAATAATATAAATAAAAGGCATTGCCTAATTTATTATATCAATATTGTATTTTGTGTGTTAATTATTCATAATAAATAACTCTGGAATAATATATTCTAAATGTCTCTAGTTAAATATTAGTTCGGGTTTAAGGTTGAAGGAATATGATAATAACTAGCATATGTAGGGATTCATATAGAGATATTAAATCTACATACGGGTACAAGATGGATATTTTGTTTACCGGACGTGACTCGCTATGAAAACATTGTATTGGATGTCATGTGAGTGTCATAAGTGTTTCTCATGTGGTCAATGTACATGTAGTTCTTTCACTTGAGAACATGGAGTTTGTTGTGTGTGAGTGATATATTTTGACGTTTATTTTAATCATTTCATAACTGAGTGACATTATGATTGTTGGGTATTTTATATATCACATGGTAGAACTAACATGTATAAAGATAGGATTTGTTCCTCCTCTATGACGAGAGTGATGTCTCTGGACCCCTTGATAATGTTAATATATATATATATATATATATATATAGAGAGAGAGAGAGAGAGAGAGAGAGAGAGGAGGTTTACTTTGCAAACCACGTTGTTTGTACAAACCGTACAAACCTCATTCAACCAATCATAATTTTTCATTTTGTTCATTTTTTTTAATTATGAGAGGTTGATTAATCATTTTTATAGTGTAGGGTGTTAATTATGGATATTATCATCTTCATTATTTTAATTTTAGAAAAATACATGAAATCGTTTCATTAAAATTTCATTAAGTATTATATGAAACAATTTCATAACCATATATGAAACAACTTCATCAAACAAAAAGTATTATATGAAACAGTTTCACAAGATTAAACAGTTTCATGAAAAAATTTCATGAGATTAGACGATGAATTCGACGGATGAAGGTGGTTTGCACGGTTTGTACAAATTGGGTGGTTTGTATTTGATCGTTCATCTCTTTTTTTTTCTCTCTCTCTCTCTCTTCATATATATATATATAGAGAGAGAGAGAGAGAGGTTGGTTATTATACAACCCTTTACATTTGTACAACCAATACAACCCAATCTTAACCGTCCATTTAATTTGATGAAGATGTGATTTCATATAAGTTTTGATTGTTTCCTAATATAAAGTATTGATCACAATTAATAAACTCTATTTATCTTCCATAAATATTCAAATTATAATAAATGAACTCTCATCATTTTCATAAACATCTCAATTTATTGGGTTGCATTAGTTGTACAAATATAATGGGTTGCATTTGAAACAAAATCTCTCTCTCTCTCTCTCTCTCTCTCTCTCTATATATATATATATATATATATATATATACTAAAGAAATGCATGCATGCTGAGATAATTGATATGAGGTACCATGAGCTATTTTATCAGTATATTAGGGAATCAAGAAACTAGAGATTGGACATAATGAAAATGACACATTCAAGGTCTCGTGTTCAATATGGACATCAAAGACAAAAGAATTAAATGTGTAAACTAAAATTGACTACAAACTGATAATTTGTTGCATCATTGATTCTCGTCATTTAGGTGGCGATGATATATTGCTAGATACCCTCATCGTCTATAAATATAACTATGAGATTTATATTTATTATCAACATGTTGAGAAGCCATTGGGTCATACGTTTTGAACATATCTCAATAAGGAGTTTCAGTAATTAAATTGTTTAATTATATATCTGCTTTGTATTGATTTAATCTGATTAAACAAAAATCACATATTATTTATGTTGGACATAAATTGGTTGACTGAGGATGGTTTTCAAAAGTCAAGAGTGATGGTGTATGGCCACTCTTACACTCAAGTAAGGTGTAGAGATGGTGGTGATCTTAGACCATACTTCCATGACCATATATAAATGTATGACATTTATGCATGTAAGTTGATCTTGCAATTTTCTCTCTAGAAATCATCTACAACATATGCTCCCTTTTTCTTTCTAAGTTCTGAAACCGTGGTTAGCATCACAAGAAGCTACAAGATTCAAATAGTTCGCGTGGATACCGTGAAGGCATCAAATCTTGTTTCTTGTTGTGATTCATAGTCTATCTAATTGTGAGGTATAATTTCAAAACACACTCGATTTATTGCGGTTCATATGTGTCATTGAAGAATTACGGTTTTATTTTCCGTTGTGCTTGAGATCCCGTAACCCAACAAAAAAGAATCTTCCAAAGTCAGCCTTTATATCACTTCACGTATGGGATGGGAACTCCAAAAGTTCAGGTCAAATCTTCTGTCTTCCTCAGGTTTTGCTCATCATTGTTGCGGCATTTCCGCCCCATGCTATAACAACTTCACTTCTTAGCTCAAAACTCACCAAAATATATTATTTTCACTTTCAAGTTCCAAAACAAGAATGATATATGATCATAACCAAAAAGACTCAAATCATCCCTTTCATAAAGTAAAACACAAGAGAGAAGTGGGAAAATGATATTGTCTAATTGATAGAAATCATTAACTTATAATAAGAACCACTTGATGTAAATAATAATTTTTAATAGATCATTTTCAATGGATATATAAATAATATTTTATATAGAGGGAGGTTTAAATGAAAACAATAACTAATAAGAGAATACAAAAATAGTCAAATCACGTTCAAAATCACATGTAATTTTACATTAACGATCAACAAAAAGATGTGCGGACAACGTGGCCCGCGACCAGAAGTCGCTGTCAAAGTCATGTGAATCACATATGATTTTATATGTTATTTTAGTGTGAAATCACATGTGATTCGACCGTTTCTTATTCTCTTATTTAGTTACTGTTCTCATGACCTAACTTTATTTAGTTACTATTCATGTAGGAACACCCTTGCAACCAAGCCATGAATGTTGAAATGTACGGAATTCAATTTCATTCCATTCGTAAGCCAAAAAAATCTATACTTGATTGATAAAGGCTTATGAGAATGTAAGTGACGTCCCAGGTTCAATACAATTAATCAGTGTCATGTCATGGTCCAGTCCAGTCCATGATGTCCCTTGGGCTTTTATTGCCGTGGACGGTTGCATAAAAAACATATAACTTGGACTAAAAAAAGTAATTTAATAATTATTAATAATTTGTTTTTATAAATTATTCATAATAAATGAAATTTAATTCAATTCTATCCCAGATCCTACAAATCAAACTACCAAGGATTCCATTTCTTTCAAATCTAAATCCCTTCGATTACAAATCCTTTCACGAAATCCAAATCCCCCAGACCAAACACCCCCTAAGTTTTTGGATTCACTAATGACACCGGGTCTTCACTTTGGAATGACCTTGGAGATGATATAACCTTGCACCTTGTACCTTTGTCCCCGTATGTTAAATGTACATACGTGTTGGACTCCAGTGAGAATGAAAGTTATGATGAGAAAGGTAAGAAGAGACCTCCACTCTTGGATCAATCCTTTTTGAAAAGAACCGCTAGAACACACTAATTAGATAAACCATATCAAATCCCTTGTAAAGCGCAAATCATGGGTTGGTTTGGGATTAAAAGTGATCAAATGTCCAAACCCTTTTTTACACTTGTCACCTTAACTTAACACCTAGATACATAAACATTAAACAAAGTTGAACACTTGAGCAAGAAAGTGACGAACAGTGAAAGAAAGCAATGAAGAGAGACCCGTATTAAACCTTCTTTCAAGCTTTTGGATCGCAGTTTGCCAAAAATTCTAGGACCGTATTTTCCACGACCCTTTAGGCACGTCAACTCAAGTCTTGACAACGAATTGGCTCAACCCGCGATGCACGAATACTGATACTAATTGATTTGTCTGATGTTGATGACTTATTCAATCGTATTATCTAGAGATAATTTAAAGTAAAAGCAAATGGAGAAAGTTTGATAAAGAATGGAAGTTGGAAAGTAATAGTCCAAGTAGTTGGGATTGACTCCTTCCACCACCTTTCACCTCCATCTCCCGTTTCCTTTACGCCATACACTTCTCTCTCTCTCTGAAAGAAGACCTGGAAATATATATATATATATATACAAAAAGATTGTCTCTATCTAAGTCTAGTCTTGACTTCACCTTAACTTACATGATTTCCACTTTCTAGACTTAAGACATAAATAGCTCCTCAGATTCTTTATTTTCTGAAAATCAAAGAAGATGGGAGGTTGGGGTTGGGTATTGGTGATGGTGGTGATGATGATGAAGGAAACAGAAGGAAGATTTGTGGTGGAGAAGAGCAGCATAAGTGTTCTATCACCAATTGAGATACGATCGAAGCATGATGCAGCCATCGGTAACTTTGGGGTGCCTGATTACGGTGGTTCAATGGTGGGTTCGGTTGTTTATCCTCGCAAACCAGACTCTGCTACCGGTTGTGCTCAATTCCAGGGGGACAAGCCCTACAAATCTAAGTCATCTTCTCGCCCAACCATCCTTCTTCTTGATCGTGGAGGTAATTAAATCAATCTTATCACTTTGACTTTTAAGCTTTTCTAATTTCAGCTTTAATTAAAATAAGAGAAGCCAATCGAAATCAAATATTCTATTACGAGAACTAGAAGGCCATGCCCATGACGTTGTTGACACCAAATCCTAATGTTTTATATTGTCTTGTTATTTTTTTAAAACATTATCGTTTACTTTTGGCAGATCTTTATATATCTGGTTCATATAAATTTGGGCCCTCTGGTTACATTTTTGAAATTACAAGATGATTATTGTGGTTCGTAAAATTGTCCAGATTTGATCCCTTCCTCTGACGACCATTAAAAATTTCCATTAAATGAGGATCACTTTCTTTCTTTTATCGATTTTTTGTCTTTTACCCAATCAAAAACCACATGGACCAAAATCATAAATCATTATAAAATCGATTTTGATTCGGTAAAAGACAAAAGAAATCGATAAAAGGACAAACATGCCCCTCATTAACGAAATTTTTTAACGACCGTTAGAAGAAATAACCAAATCTGAATGTTTTAGTAAACCACGATGCTCAGCTTGTAATTTCAAAAGTTGTTCTCAACAAACCACAGGGACCCAAGTTCGTAGTTTATATTATGAAACTGATTACATTGGTTGAAAACCGATTTAATTGATAAAATTGGTACAAAATAAGTTTAGAAGTTAATTATATTTGATCTAGAAAAATTATTGGTTACACTAAATAAGAATTAAACCAAACTTTGTTGCAGTTTTACCAAAATAAGAACATAAATCTTGATATTAGATTTTGGCGTTTAAGGTTGGTTTTCAGTTTAGTTTTGATTACTAGTTGTTTCAAGCTGCCATAATATGTATTAGATCTTCGATCCTAATGAACTTAAATACTTGCCTTCAATTGCAGAATGCTACTTTGCTTTGAAGGCATGGAACGCACAGCAAGCAGGTGCAGCCGCTGTAATAGTAGTCGATACCATAGACGAGCCTCTGATAACCATGGACTCCCCTGAGGCCAGCTCCACGGCATACGACTTCATCGAAAAGCTCACGATTCCATCTGCATTGATCCAAAAAACTTTCGGTCAGTCCATAAAAGACGTCTTAGAAAAACATGACCAAGAAGTTCTGTTAAAGCTCGACTGGTCTGAGTCCATGCCCCATCCGGACAAGAGGGTCGAGTACGAGTTATGGACCAACAGTAACGACGAGTGTGGGGTCCGTTGTGATGAACAGATGAATTTCATCAAGAATTTCAAAGGCCATGCTCAGATACTCGAGAAAGGAGGTTACACGATGTTCACGCCACATTATATAACATGGTACTGTCCTAAACCGTTCATTCTGAGTGATCAGTGCAGGTCTCAGTGTATCAATCATGGTCGGTATTGTGCACCGGATCCCGAGCAGGATTTCGGAGAAGGGTATAATGGGAAAGATGTGGTGTTTGAGAACTTGAGGCAGCTTTGTGTTCATAGAGTTGCTAAAGAGACCAACAGGTCTTGGGTCTGGTGGGATTATGTGACTGATTTCCATATCAGATGTTCTATGAAGAAAAAAAGATACAGCAAAGAATGTGCTGAGGATGTCATCAAGTCACTTGGTAATTAACCAAATGTCATTTTTTGGTATTTATAGTCCCATTTTTAGGACCCATGAAGTTTTTGGTATTTATTATGGGTCCCATCTTAATCTGAAATGGGACCCATAAAAATTAGCTTCTAATAAATGTCTCTTCTGATTCACCAGGATTGCCTAGTGACAAGGTACAAGAATGCATGGGAGATCCTGAAGCCGATATCGATAACAAAGTACTAAAATTCGAGCAAGATTCCCAGGTTCTTTTCTTCCTTTCGAATCCCAAAAACAGTTTCTTTAGAAAACTTTGTATAGAACGAACTAAGTCTGTTTTCCTTTATAACTAGATTGGACAAGGATCGCGTGGTGATGTAACCATCTTGCCAACATTGGTCATTAATAACGTTCAGTACAGAGGTAGTTCATTTAACCACTTCTTCGAAGGTTGGGGGTGACGTTTAATGTGTTGATTTTTGTTTTCCGTTCATTTTGAAGGAAAATTGGACAGAACTGCTGTACTGCGAGCCATATGTTCGGGATTTAAGGAGACGACCGATCCTCCTATATGTTTAAGCGGAGGTATATTTTGATTAAGAAGAGTCGACACATATAAACATAATGTTCTTATACACCCTATATATATGCTGTAGATCTTGAGACAAATGAGTGTCTTGAAAGGAACGGTGGTTGTTGGATCGACTCACAAAAGGGCATAAGTGCTTGCAAGGTAAACATAACCGGAGGGGTCTTGAACATCTATTATCACCTCTTTCATTTTGTGGAAGTCCTACGTCAGCTAGACTTGGACATTTTCTCATGAATATATGTTGGAACCTCTCTTATCTGCTCAATGGCTCTTTTGGAGAGTAATTTGATGTGGTTCTACATATTCTCACATGGTATAAAAGCCAATGTCTACCATCTAAAAGGGATTTAACACTCTGGGGCACTTATACCCTTCTAGAGGGGGCCTGTTGGAGTCCACGTCGGCTAGACTTGGACAATTTTATTCCTCAATATATGTTAAAATTTTCCTTCTCGCCGGATTGGGTTCGCATATTCTCACACTTGTTTGAATGCTTTTATGCTTTTAGGACACTTTCAGGGGAAGAGCATGTGAATGCCCTACAGTGAACGGGGTGCAATATCGAGGAGATGGATATACGTTTTGTGAAGGTATGTACACGTCGTTTTTCTAACAATAACCTACAACTTATGGTATGAGTTTTGTAATTTTGAATGGTTCAATTGACAGCCTTTGGAGCTGGGAGATGTACAGTCAACAATGGAGGATGCTGGTTGGATATTAGGGACGGAAAGAGGTTTACGGCTTGTTCAGTTGAGTGTCGTTTCTTTGAGTTTTTGTTTTCTTAGACAGTTCATGTGTCACTCCTTCGCATTTGATTCACATTTGTTTTACAGGTGTCTAATATGACCGGCTGTAGTTGTCCGCAAGGTTTTCATGGGGATGGTCATACTTGTAAAGGTAAAATCATAATTTCACACCAAGGCACTAGGCTACTACTGAAGCTTTTGTTATAGAAGTTTCTGAAATGTGCAGATATCGACGAGTGCAAGGAAGGTAAGGTTTGTCGATGCGATGGGTGTACATGTAAGGACACATATGGTGGATATGAATGCAAATGCAAGGGCGACAAACTATATATAGCCGATCAAGACACATGTATTGGTAAGATAGAAAGATTCTTTTTTATGTAGGTCCCATTTCAACAGAGATGGGACCCATGTGTTTCCCTTGAAGAAGGGAAACAGCACAGTGTGAGGCTTCAAAGTTTTTACTTCTTCCCTAGATGTATATAATACTTATATATGGAAAACCTCACGTACACTCCTCACTTTCGGCGAGGCCTGAATGTTTGAGCTCCAAAGAGTTTGGGATCCACCGATAACCCGCATACCATTGAATTATTAACCCTTTGGTTTCTTCCCTATGTTCCTAGATCTTAAGAATACATCTTAACAAGACTTGTTGCAACTTCTTGATCTATTGTGGTTACACAGAAAGGAAGGCTTCAAAGTTCGCTTGGTTCGTTAGCTTGTTGGTACTAGGGGCGGTGGCGAGTGCTAGTTTAGCAGGCTACATTTTCTATAGATACAGATTAAGGGTATGCATCTCTTACCAATTTTCGAACCACCAGCTACATTCGAAGATGATCTCATCAATGTTTAATGAAACAGGCATACATGGACTCGGAGATCATGGCGATTATGTCTCAGTACATGCCTCTCGACAACCAGCACCAGAATCAAGTGGCTATTCATGAAAACGAACCTCTGCATCAAACATCAACGGTATGATCTATAAGAGTTTGAACAGTGTAGCATACACATAAAGTAATTGATTACAGAGGAGGAATACAGAATACATGGGACAAAATTTTAGAGCACGAAGGACGGGAAGTACGTGTATGTACAGTTAGTTAGCAAGATGTATAAGTGTTGTTAAGAAGCCATACTACTCTTTATACATGTTTAAAAGCGCAGAAGGAGAATGTGTGTCTGAACATGCAGATAAAAGTTGAGTTAATGGTTCGAACCTCATAAATGATATTAACTCTTATAAGCCATCCATTGTTCGACAATCCTAGATTTTATTCAGTTTACATGGAGATGAAAATCATATGATATTGGTTGAAAGTTCTACTAAGAAGAGACTCAGGATGAAGATCATATGATATTGGCCATTATACCCTTTTATCTCTTTTCACGGATAAAAAAGTCATTTGATTTAAAGTCGAAAATCCTGAGGAGATCATAAGAACAATGGTACCGAGCAAGCCATACAACCATTAGGTCATGAGTTTGAGTCTCAACAAATACATGGGGGTGTAAGCTAAATTTCCATTTCAAAGAAAGTAAGAATAACAGTTCTAAGTTGTGCACGGACATGATTGAACATTTCTTCTTTAATTAAAGCAGATAGACATAAAAAAGATCTGCTAACCTATTTCTCATAATTATATATGGAGCTATACATCCACTAGTGTTCTTATATACATAATAAAGAAAATTAAAGCAATTGGCATGCAAGCATGCACAAATTATTACACATAACATTTCAAATATGGGCAAAAGATGAAAGGTTTCAAATGTTAAGTGAATATGAAACATACATAGTTAAGCAATTGAAAAAAAGTTGTGTCAAACGCAACTATACTCTAGAATCATGTGATTATGTGTGATATCTTTCGATGTGATGCAAACAAATGTGCACCCTTTGCTCCCTTCTCTAAAGAAAAAAAAAATTATTGAAGATATAAACCATGAAAAACTATATAGAACATAAGTAACAAGCATCTATGTGCCTAACAAACATTAAATTTATATCCTAAACATCAGCTAGAATGCTAAATTACAAAACCTAACATATGCCCACAGCCCCACACCATTATTTCTGTTATCTATCTCTTATAGAAGGTTCACTCGTCTTCTCAATGACTAGTTTCAAGGCCTCAAATATCTCTTTTTCAAGGTCTAATTTATTTGAAGTTTAACAAACTCTAATCTTTTTCTTGGGCCTTTCTTCTTCAAAGTGAGTAGAGGAACCAAGGGGCCGTTTACCAAACGTTTACCGGGTCACTTGCCTTATCAGGTGAGCATGGCAAGGAACGAGAATGATACCTGATAAGGCAAGTGAGGTGGTGACTCTTGCCGATAAGCATTTGGTAAACGACCCCTAAGTGTTGAAGTTGAAGTTTCTCGAGCTTAATTTCTTCAAATGCCTGACATATTTATTGGCCTGTGTAAATTAAAACACATAACCATACAAGCTAGGTTATCTTGTACTTAGTTTACAGAAAACAACTTAAGCCTCCCTATTCAAAACTCTCACAACTCCATCAAGTAGGTTAAAATAAAAAGTCTGATCCCCTTGTCTCTAGTCGACTAAACATCTAACTCTGCATTAACATAGATATTTCTAAAAAGTTGCTATAACATAATAAATTGAATAATCTCTCCCCCCCACCCCCACAAAAAGAAAGGATTAAATTGAATAACTTTCTCCCCCTGGGTATATTTTCTGGCCCACAAGGATCTACAATCACGTTAATTTCCCAAGCATGAAGCGAAAGAAATCCAATGAACGAACAGATTCAAGTTTTGAAATAATATCACATCATAATCTTATGAAAAACGCAAATCAAATATTAAAAAAGGGATCGAGAAGGCACAGAATTTCTCAAAAAGGAAACACCAATTTCAAATTGCAAACACTACATATAATGAGGAAACTATTCGACCTATATAACATGCTCCAGAGTTTTCGCTATCGAGGTGTGTGGAAGATTTTCATCCAGCAAAGGCCAAAGAGTGAATAGAATTTTTAAATCGTTTACGAAAATGTACAATTTGTCATAAAAGAAAAGGAAATACCGATCTCGCCGGTGAAGGTGGTGGTGGTGGTGGTGGTGGTGGTCGCTGTAGTTAGTTAGGAGCGGTGGTGGGTAGGGCTTGGGAGGGGAGCAAAGATGGGTGGAGGATTGCCTTTAGAAATTGCACCAGTGATCCCTAATCTTTAAATAAGTGGCATTTTTGGTCCTTTTAAGTATTAATTATGCTGGTTTAGTCCTTGTGTTTCTTTTTGTTGATCTAAAACCCTATCGAGTAACCACAAGGGTGGTGCATGATTGGTTTGAGCTTGCCTTCAAAGGTCAAAAGTAGCAGGAGGTCTCAGGTTCAAATCCAATGAGAAATAAAAATTCTCTTGTGGCCACGGAGGTTCAAATGCGGTGACTCCGGACTATCTGCAAAGCAGGTGGTCGCCCTAAGATTAGTCTGCTCACATAGCAAGTTCAATATCCAGGTTAATAAAAAAAACCATATCGAGTAAAATGCTAAACTTTCGATGATAAAATAGTTCTAATTTATAATTCTTTACTTTGATTTTAATGGTGTTAATTTTTAACAAGAAGAAATTGATCATAACATTCAAGTTTTCAAGTAATTCTTTGTTCTAAAGCTCCCATACTTTGATCTTATCGTAAAGAATTTCGATATACCGATCAGTCTTCAAGATAATTTTATTTTTTGAACTTGACATGGATCTTTAGATCCTGATCTTTTATCCATGGGGTTTTGACATCAAGATCAGGTTGGAGAACATTTTTATGAACAAGTGGTCGAGTAATCATGGGAGGAAGATCATCCAAGAAGAAAGAGTTTTTATGGAGTAGAAAAAAAGGGAAGCGGTATTGGGTCGGGTTTTTTCAGGAGGGGTAAGCTTGTGAAGAAGGAAGCTTCCTGCCCCGACTGTCAGTTGTTAGCTCTCTCCATCTCTCCTAAACTTCCCCTTAGTTTCGACTCAAGCTGTATAAGGCAGAAACTCATCCTCAGCATGCCACGGTGATTATGTACACGGCTCCTATACACACATCCAATCACCCTCTGGGAATAGATTTCGTTTATAATACCAATTATCGTGGTAGCATGGTACTTTGAGGATCTGACTAAGTCGTTTAAGGGTAAGTATGTCTCATTAACGTAAAAGGAACCCTGGATGGATTTTTTTTTATGTGGTCAACCATGACCATACGAAAAAAAGATATTGGAAAATCGGTCATCTTATGACATCAAAATGTTCATTTGCATAATTATTTTCTAACCATCCTATCTAACCCAATATTTTGTGTAGCAAAAACTTGACACTTATGATTACAAAACTTTTCACCAGCTATAGTTATGGTATTCTTTTTAAGTATATAATATATTTTATATACGGCAAATGCAACAAATAAACACACATACTCTCTTCACCATTGGTGATGTTTGAACTCCTGACTTCCTATGAGGCAAGAGGCTCAGATACTGCTAAGCCAAAGACCCATTTGGTTATGGTTATGGGATTTTGTTGCGATAGTTTAATGGCATGCTACAAGACAAAAAAAACATTCAATAAACGTGCATGTTTGTGCATGGTGAATTAAGTCTCAATGACAAGGAAATTTTCCCCTTTCATTCATAACAATGACTAGATGGACCTTTATTTGGTTACTTGTAGTTATTTCTTATAAGCACGAAAACGAAATCTCCACACACACACACACACACACATATATATATATATATATATATTATCTTTAGTGTATCATCTCGTGCCAAATTCAATAATTATTTTTCTGTCCAAATAAGTGTTCGACCCTCTAAAACTTGTAGCATTTGTTGAATTATGATGTTGGTTAATTGCTAATCCAATAATAAGACTTAGCTTAAGGGTATATATATATATATATATATATATATATATATATATATAATTAACTTGAAGTTGTTATCAATCATATTCACAAGCCATCTCAAATCTCACCCTTTTTTCATTCACAGTTACAATAATATGAAATCCTTTTAAAAAACCTACTTCATAAAAGGATTTCATATTATTGTGATTAATTAACACATGCAGATAAATAATGTCTACTTCATCAAAAGATACGTATTTTTATTTATTTATATTTTAGAAAATAGTTTATGCAAACAAACTTCATTTAAAAATTATATTAATTTAGAATATCATTAGTTTATTTTTTTTCCAAAATCACATCAAATTTCAGTTAAAGTTAGGTAGTCTGTGCTATTATTTCAATGTAATGAGAAAATTACGTTTTATTTTATGTCCTTATTTTTCTTCAAAATAAAATAATCATAAAACTTGACTTCGTGTTTGTCTCTTTGGTAAAGGTTTCTTGTTTAGAAAGGTGCGGGTTTTACCAATTTTTTTATTTTTCATTTCTTAATGTTGGTTTTGTTATAGAGTTTGTTTTTTTTTCTAATAAAGTAAAAGGGAAAGGTCGTAAAAGAGTCGAATATTGAAAAAAATTATTTGGTTTTTATTTCTTATAGTCAAATGGTACCATAATTTGAAAGAAAAAAAACGGATTCGTTTCAAGGTATTTTTCAAATTATAGACTATCAAATAGAGTTGCACACGAATCGATCTAAAAAATAGCTTAGTATGGTCAATGGTGTTCTTAAAAGAGCTCGGGCCAGTCTAGATTTGACAAGCTAAAAAGCAAACCTAGACCGGTGGTCAAGCCTGGTCTAGGATTGGTCTGGTCCAAAAAAAGGTCGGCATTGGTTTGGTCCGATCCATAAATAGTCGTATCTAGTACATTAAAATTTGGAAAGGAAAAAAGATAGACTAATCTTTATTTGGTATGGGCTATATTTTCATCTTTATCCGGTCCAACTCAAAATAATTAGTCCAATAAAGTATTGACAATCAATATATTCCGGACTAACGATGCATGTATCGGTTTAGTCCATCGGCATGGTCCAAAAGCCATCTCTACACTTAACTGTGGATCTTAAAAGTATGTTCCCTAAAACAAGAATTAAACAGAAATACATTTTTTATGCAATTTGCCCAAATTATACATGTCTTTTTACTTTAAATTATTTAAAGAATGATAAATTATATCAAACTGAAACATATATTTTGTTTTAGTTTTGGTTTCAAGGAACCTGCTTAAAAAAAAACTCTATTTTGTGTTTGTAATAACCAAAAAAAAGGAAATAAATTAATTGTAATTTAATGACATAAAACTCAATGATCATGAAACCTACGATCATTAATTATGGCTTATCGTTTCATATTCCGTGAAACCGCCGATTACTAAATATATATATGGGGAGGTCTTCAAGCATAGAAATGACAAATTCTCGGGGAAGGAAACTCGTATAAGAGAGGTGAAAGATGAGGATGATTTGGTGAAGCGCAACAAGTTTGATGCGTTTTTTTGGGAGAACATGAGGAACTTCGAGGAACGGTTTGGAGTTATGACCTGTATKGTGAGTTACACGTGATTTATTTTTAAAATGGTTGCATGCCTTATTTCTTATTATCCACAAGTTGTTTGAAGCTTCTTGAGATTTTTGATACGTTATATATGCGTGAAAAGTGAGATATTTTTATAATATGTGTTTTGAATTTGTATGTCAATGGGGATGTACTACGGTATGATTTTGTAAAGACGAGCATGCTTTGTGAGTTTGTCTAAGCCGTAAGTGCGGACATATTGTGTGAGTTCGCCAGGTAATGTTGTGTGAGGTAGACATCTCCCATGACGTCGTTGCTTTGTGATGTAGACACGCACTATAATATCGTTATTTTGTGAAAATTGTTATTCTCATCAAGGCATGCTAATTTATGAAGCTTCGTGAAAATTGTTTATCATAAAAGTTGTTGTTCATGCATGAAAACTGTGGATTCACTGGGCCTAAGGCTCACCCAAAACTCTTTTAAATTTTTTTACCCAGGTGGCTTATGAGTGAAAAGAAAAGTGCAATAAAGAGAAATAAGGATTAACTTCAAAGAAGGATATGTGCAGATCAATGCATTGTTATATAGAGTAAATTTATGCTCCTCAAGATTGTAATTTAGATGGTGATACAATTTGTAAGATTAGAAATTTTATTTCCGCTGCAATGTAAGTTTTGATCTTGGGATACTAGTTTTGATATATTTAAGTATTCAAAATTTTGGGATCTTACAGTGTTTACGATAAACATCTCAAATAAAAAAGTTTAAAAGCTCTTTTTTCAAATATGACTTTTTGTTTACGTATTATATATATATATATATATATATATATATATAATACGTTCTTTTTTATTCACGAAGTTATAATCAATCAGTAATGAAAGTGCCCTAATCGTCCACCCTTGTCCCCGTCCCCTCAGGGGGATGAGGAATTGAATCCACTCCTCTTCGGAATATAGGTTCATCCTCGTAAAAAATACGTTTAAGCTACTATTAATTAGGATACAGTAGTTCATAAACATTTAATGGACAACTGACATGTTTAATAAGTATATAAGTACTTGAGTTGGTTTCAAGTAAGTAACCCCGCATGCATTGTAAATCGTATCTTTAAAAGCATGGAGTGATTTTGGATGAACTATAACAAAATTGGTTTTATAGGAAGTCTATAGTGTCTAAACGTCCTAATATAACATATTATACAACTTGATTTTATATGATCAAACTATAAAGCGTCATATCTAAAACTGTTTTATAAGTTTATAAGACGATTTTAACAAGTTTTTTTAGCATATTTTTAAATTAAAGTGTCGTTGAGTTATTTTTATACGACATTTTTTAGAAATATCCTATAAACCTATCTTATATGACACTAATATTTATAAAACACTTTTTCAAATAGTTGATATAAAATAGTTAATACGACATATTATTTTAAAAGCATCTTAAAAAACTTGTTGAAATGCTTAAAAACGTCCTATAAACTTCTTGTAACACTTTAGGTATGACGTTTTTTAGTTTATTCATATAAAGTCCTATATATAAGGTATTTTATGTATGATGTTTAGACATTCGAGAC